AGGAAGGTCCCGGCAAGTTGACGTGGCTGATGAAATGATATTGAAATGAAAGGCATTATCTACAATCTGCTCTCTATTTTCTATTTCAAGTGCTCTCTACGTTCGTACGCATATCGTTACTATCAGTCCTCATCAGTCGTTATCACTTTGTGACCCCCACCAAATATGTTTCCGTCCCACCCCCTATATCATCCAAAATCAGCTCCTGACGACTGCTGCGAACGCGCACTATGAATTTCGTGACACACACACACACACACACACACACAGCGTTTATATATAGTAGGGATTATTGTATTTTTTGTAAAAGCTCCATGGCACTATTTACCCTTTACTGCCCCACTCCTCGAGAACTGAGCCGGGTTTTTATCGAAATTTGTCCATGACTGTGGATTTGGCTAGAAACTTGCCTTCAGGGGTAATTCGACCCGTAGAACACGAATATCACATTGTTTACCGCTAGAACGCCTGGCGCTCGCGCCAGAAGCGCCGGCGCCAGAACATCTCGGATCACCAAATTCGCTGGAAACTTCCTTCAGAGGTATTTTGACCCGTAGAACATGAATATCACATTAGTTCGTTGCGAGTGAGCCTGTAGCCTGCGCTACGGCGCCCGCGCAAAACTGTTGTGATAGCGCCGGCGCCTGTGGCGCGGGCGCCAAGCGTTTTCGCGCTAAACCGGTGTGATATTCGTGTTCTACGGGTCGAAATACCCCGGAAACAACTTTCTAGCCAAATCCTTAGTCATGGACGAATTTCGATCAAAATCCGGCTCAGTTCTTGAGGAGTGGGGCAGTAAAGGGCCGACTTTATTCTCTCTTCGGTTCTCACTTCCGACACACGTGGAGATATACGGGCCTCGTACGATACTTTTTTAATCGGCGGACACACCACTCCATTGAATAGTTACATAATCATTCGAAGAAGACAATTACGTGGCGTGTGCCAAAAAATACATGATTTATCTATATTTTATTACTTCTCAATCTTAAAGTATTTCGAATGTCATCACAGCGCCTGCCAGAACTAATGTTGCCTCCGGAATCGCTAGGCGCTGTTTGAAGCAATTTGTTCCCACACAGATGTTTTCCCGAAAACAGAGACGAAACGAGTTGTCTTCTACAACTCCCATATCCTATCATGGAGGTTGGGGGTGCCAATGCTGGGAGCAACGATCAAGAGAAACATCGTGGAGCCGCCGTTGAGCGCGAGGACAACAGTGAAGAAAAGGCGATCGAAAATGTTGGCCAGCTGGGACCAACGGGCCACAAGCCTCTCGAACTCTTGTTCAGCTCCAACTCGGTCAATCTGGAAAAATTTGAGATTAGTGGTCGGCGCGAAACTCGTTTTCTTAGTGAACATGACTACCCACCAGATCCTTACTGACGAGATCGTCGCAGTTTGAGTCCATTCGCAACGAGCCTTTGCTCTGAGCACCAATGCTCTTCGATCTAGCTCTTGAAGTTGAACCGCCGAACACTGGAGCCAGTATGGAGAAGCCGACGATTTCTAACCATCGTGGAATTCTGAAAGGATATCTGTTACCATTGACCTTGAATCATTCGTAAAGTTTGGTATACTCGGCTGCTCTACTTTGGTGGCGCTTTTGTAACATTAAAGGTAAGAAGTTGTGGAAAACAAGCTGTTCTGAAGAAAACTTTTGAATGTCTCAATCGAAACAAATTAGAACTTTTGTCATCATTTTTACCGTCTGCCGTGGCGTTGTTCTTTGGTCCCTCAATGGGCTCCAATTACGTCTACATTCGCCCCTGTAGCGTGCGAGAGCGTTCCTGTAAACCTTTCTTGCTTGAGAGACAAGTAGTTATTTATTCCTTTCATTCAGTTTTCGTGGAGAAGTCTGACCAATCGGTGACCGCTCTTGTCCAACGGTCATCAAAAAATCGCATGACGTATCCGGCCCACCTTATCTTCGATTCCTTGGCGAAAACGGCAGCGTCCCTGATCTTCGATCGTTGGCGTAGTTCGACTCCGGATTCCCTCTGCACTTTCGTGCAGAGGGAAGCTCGTTGTGCTTGCGCAGAGTTCATATCTCCGGCGTCAAGCCTGAGGCAAAAATTGAGGCAAGAAGGACGGCAGAATTGAAGAGGTGGGCGCGGAGCCTCGCTGTTCGTCTTCTTCACTCCCGGATTTCCTTGTCCTTCTGCTCAGCTTTTGAACTGGATTCCACTCATCATGTCCACCGAAATCTTAAAGGCAAACTCGGGGATTAAACAGGTGCTATCAGCGCTTTGTGGTGATAGCTTAGCTGCGGAACGACCTGAAAGTGGAAAGGAAAGCAAGAGAATATCCTTGGGAACGCTGCAATTAAGGCCTTAACCTTCAGTAGGGTAGAATGTGGTACGATGGCGAGAAAGGGCGGTCAAAGAAGACAAAATACGCGAGAGAGCACGTCGTTTTGAGAGAGCACACTGATCTCTCATCAATGCACGCTGATCTCACCACCTCTCGCGGCGGTTAGGATGCGTTGGAAAGGGAGTCGATGGTTGCGGGCCCGTAAGGACTAGCGCCCTTTGCGACGAAGCGGAGTGACCAGTTTACGTATGGCACCTTTACAACCCCCGGGAATCCTTCCTATAGCGGACAATCGGGGTTTGCCCAAAGCAATGCTGGAGCTCTTAGATGCTCACTCCGTGGTTTCGTGAAGCGTCAAATGCATCAGAAACCATTGCTTAATGAACATCGTCTTCGTAGGTCCAGTAGCATCAGCTTCTCCACAAGCGCTGTCGGAAATGGCCAGCATTTGCTCGCTTCTTTGATTTGAGAGCGATGCCATCAGCAAAGCGAAGTTGGTGCAGTTAGTGGATGTCAATATTCACTCCAATGTCACCCGTGAACATTTCATTGTCGGCCAGTTTACTATTATAAATTTATTGTGCTAACAGAAGCCTAATGTGTCAAGCGGGCATTAGCGAGCGGAGCAAAACTGGTCTGGAATATGAAAATCCACCTATCCGAGTAGTCTGCTCCATGACGAAGATTCAAAACGAACACCGAGAAGCTCACCGACAGAGCCGAAATGCCCATAATTGCCATTAAGTAGATAGCTAAAAATGGAAATGTTTGCTGTGAACTGCACTGGAAACGAGCGCAACACTCACCGATGAGTGGAATAACTTCCGAAGTCTCAGACATAATTTC